GGGTTTTGTCTAAATTGCCGCAATAAATTAAAGGATAATAAAAAAGAAATAAAACTGTGAGGTCTTTTATTTGAAAATTAAATATTCCAGAAAACTTTTCTATTATGGTAAGTGTCAGATGATGAGCAGCACAAAATCTCTTTATTTTAACTAGATTACAGAAACTAAGACGTCGTGGAATACGTGTCAATGTTAAGCTTTAACCCACTTTTCTTGCAGGATTTTTCTTTTTTATTCTTTAATTCTTGAGAACTCTTTATTTCATGCAATTTTATATAATGCGGACGACGGCTTTATTTTTTACGCGATTTTTATTTTGAAGTGTAAAAAGTAAGATGACTAACTAACAAAATGACTTTATTCTATTAGTAATCATAATTTTTACCAAATTCACTTTTTCTGAACAAAGAATACATGTTTTTATTTATACGACATGTTGTACCTGGATAATTTAAAATGCAAACAATAAATATTTAAATTTTGTTAAAATGACCAATTCTACCGTTATAGAGCTTATTGTATCCTAAGAAGAAAAAGCTTTGTAGGATTTTTCGTTAAAAGTTTTTCGTAAAGAAAAATATAAGACCCTCTTAGTATTGAAAGAACCGTTTCTAATTATATTAGACAAATTACTTTGTCCATCGATTACCTACAAAGTAGGTCCCCTTTCCCTAAACGAAACTGTCAAATAAATAACAAATTAAATCGATTTTCCACAAAAAAAGATAATGCAATTATTTTCTAATGGATCTACCTTTAATAAAATCTCAACCGATAATTAAAATAAAATCAACATTGACTTTAAGGACTTGTTATTATATTAATATGATAAGTCTAGCATAATCAACCGCTCAATCAAATATCATATAAATATTAAATATTATACTTGAAAATTACACAGTATCCTATACGGTATCAAATTAATAATTAAAATGGTTTCAACACTAGTTGGGGCTCGAAATGATATAATGCATATTAACTTGTTCGTCTGAATAATTTTTAACTTTCTATAGAAAATAATCCCTTTTGAAAGCAATAGGTGCGATGGAAAATACCGTGCTCTGATTGGTTTATTGCTTTCCATATAGATCATGTTCTATAGAAAGTGTGTCGGCACATTTTAAAAGTTGTTAAAAAAATCCAGTTCCTTTTCTTAAAATGGTTTACACTATTGCAGAACGCATTGAAATTATTTTTATTTATGAAGCGGAAAACAGTTGCTTCGCAAGAACGGCTGTCATATTTAATGATCGACATCCAGAAAGAAATGTTAGACACAAGTACATCTGAGATTAAGTAGCTAAATTTGAATAAACTGGATCTGTTTGCAATAAGAAGAGGAATGGGCCAAGATTGGTCAATGAGATCGCTCAGATTTAAGTCCTTGGCCAAATTGCTATGGCTCCCACAATGTCGCTTCGTCAAGCTGCAGAACAAACTGGACTGTCGCGTGAATCAGTCAGAAAAGTATTGAAGCTTCACATATTTCACCCATACAAGCTACAAATTACTCAAGAATTAGGGGATGATGACCCGGACAGACGTATTGAGTTTTGCGAAATTATGACTGACAGGATTATTGTTCAGCCCCAGTTTATAAAAAATATCTGTTTCAGTGATGAGTGCACCTTCTACTTAAATTGCAAGGTGAACAAACAAAACTGCCGTTATTGGAGCGACTTTATTCCTCACATTATTAGAGAGGGGCATTCACAATATCCTCAAAAAATAAATGTTTGGGCGGGCATATTAGACTATCATTGGTCCTTTGTTCATAGGAGGGGACCCATTGAATGGCCACTTAGGCCACCAGATCTGACACCGCTCGATTTCTTTCTATGGGGTCATTTGAAATCCATTGTATTCAAAACCCAACCGAACTCAATTGAACTCCAACAAAGGATTGGGCAAGAATGTAGGGCTATTTTACCAGAGACACTTTAAAACGTCCGCTTACAAAACAATGGAAACCATTTTGAACAATTAATAAAGTAATTATATTATCTTTATTATCAATTTTACTGCCACACGCATATGAGTAGCATAGCCGTGCGCGCCCACGCGATGAGCGCAGTATGAGCGCACGACGTGATCAATGATCTCTTACACTGTGCTTATCGGCAGTGATGCCAGATTCTATCAAAAAAACAGTAGATTTCGTTTTTATTCACCTTATAATTAAAAAATTATACAATCAATAATAATGAAATATCGTAAAATTGCAATTTGCATTGGTTCACTAGGTAAGTTCAATTAAAATGACATGCATTAACTGATTTATATATATACATAAAACTATTAAGGATTTCAGGTAAGTGTGAAAAATATAAAGATTAAATCATAACAAGCATTTTCCCATCATAATTAATTATTTTTCTTGGGATTTCAAAATAATTGAAATTATGAGCATGTGCATTTTTATTTACTTTTTATTTGCATTGGGATTTTGTGATTTTACTTTTGTGATTATTTAGTTTAGTTGTTTTAAAATCACTTGATTAATTGATCATCTGCTTTTTTATTTACATTAAGATTTTTTTATTTTACGTGTGTGATATTTATTTACTTTTTTAAAGTGATTTTGATTAAAATTTGCCTTTTTATTTACTCGAATATATATTTACATATATATTGGTGGTTTTTGGTTCTTAGAAGAACCGTATATCTGACGACGTTTCGGTACAATCTCATGTACTTACCATGGTACATGAGATTGTACCGAAACGTCCTCAGACATACGGTTATTTTAAGAACTAAAAACCGACAACACGGAGCAGATCCCGGAAAACCACCAATACATATAACGCCCGTGGAAATCTAAAACAGAATATATATATATCAACGGGTTTAAGGCAAAACGGCACAAACGCCAAAATTTTAAAAAATTTGTTACAGCTCTAGCTAAACAATTTAATTCTCTATCAACCTGTACTTCTAACAGTTTTTCGAAAAATTTGGTGCTTGTGCCATTTTGCATTAAACCCGTCGTTATAAATGCATTTCCTTTTGAAATATACAACTTTTTTTACTTATTCATGTGCGCTGGAAATGCGTCGGCACACGTGCGCTGCATATGAGACGCATATGTAAGCGCATATGTGTAGTGATCTGCACTCACTGTGCGGGCATCGTGACTACATTTTGCTATCTGGGCAATTTTGGCAAAAAAATGTAACTTATCTAGAATTACATAAGGATTTCAAAAATGGTGAAATAAATAGGGGTTGCTATTTAAAATTTTAGGGGTAGTTGCTCTGGAGGTCAGGGGGTTAAATGTCATCAGTTAAAGAAATACTAAGTGATGTTCGTTTTAAAATTGTCACCCTGTATAAATTTGTCAGTGTGGTTAGTATATCTGAAAGTTTTAACTCGAAAATATGTTATTACATAGTGGTATTAAGTTTGAATTGAGTTAGTTTTTGGTTCCATGAGCAATTTTTCAATTATAACATGATTCGAAAATTATTCTAATTTCCATAATCTCTACAAATGCAATCAGGGTGGAAAATTAATGTGTAGTTGCTGCGACCAATTTGCGAGTTACAAAGACATTTCTACAATATGATATTTTAATAAATATAGATTTTGAAAAAATAATAATTAGAAGAATTTAGGGAAAAGTGAATAGTTTCATTGAAGTATTTTGAAGTTGTGTCGTGTTCATAAATATATATATATATATAGCAGAGGTAATACTTACAACTGCTGGCTTATTTCCTATATCTACGACCTATATTTCTTGTTAGCTTTAAATTCTTAAAACATTCTCTCGAGATGTTTAAGTTTTGTCACAAAGTTTTATATGTATTTTTATTCAATGCTGAAATCGGAACATCTAAAATTTAAACAAATCTAACCCGAATTCATTTTTCCTTTTCAAAGATAAAAGTAATTTTCTTTTAATTTGCCTTAAATTTTTTCTGATGCATAAACAAGGAAATAAGGTTTCTATGATAAATGATCTTTTAATGTGTGGGCGGTGGGACGAAAACTAAATTGAAGTTTAACCAGTGATTTCATTTCAACTGCGTTTTTTCCTGAAAATCTACCGAATCGTTAAATTGGCCAAGTAGATTATTTTCTAACAAGATTGTTCTTTACTTGGGATCAATAAAACATTATTTAGTTCAATGGCGCGTTCTTTCCCAATAAAAGGAACACAAACTTCGTTTAAGATAATTAGTTTCCAGTTGAGCCACGTCAAAATGGCACAATTAACATTCAAGCCAATTTCAGAACAATAATTGTGCTCATTATTTTCCTAATTAATATTATTATTACTATTTACAACCTTATACTGGGCGACAAATTTAATAAATTTACCTTGCAATTATTTCGTCAAGCTCAGAAGGCTTTGGCTTTGGTTCCTTCATAATAAGCGTTATCCATTTATTGTTTTAAAGCTATTTCATATGACAAAGCTCGAAAGTAAAATTACTTAGGTGAAGTGTATGACTCTTGTTGTTGGACAATGGTCGAAATTCGAATTAAGGAAGGCGAAGGACTCCAGACCTATAACACTGTTCAGTGAACATTCCTGTGATGTTGGGTAACTTGATAAGAGGTAATAAATGTCATTTATCAAGGATCGGGGACGAAAGGGAGAACACGTTTTTTCATGCTGTTTTTTTGCTTTAGCCAGTTGTTTTTTATGGACCTTTAAAATTAACATATCCCCTGTTTGGCTTAGGCTGTCAGTAAAATATTGCATACAGTTTAGAAATAAATTGCATGCCGAAGATTTTTTTGTATCAAATAAATCAGGATTTAGAGAATGCATGTATAAATCTTGCTGTGTCCATTATAAAACCTATTTATTTTGTCAACATTTTAATTAATCCTTGGGAAATTAAAAAGTCAACAAAAGTAGAATGAAGTATGCATGCCTAGTAAAAAGTATTAATAGGATAGTTACTTCGTGTTTAACCACAAACTTTTCCAAGTTTGCAGCATGGCTGTCTGAAAAACTTTTTATTCGTATTTTTTTAGCAAAGGGTTACCTTAATGGGATCATAGGAATTGACATAGATTGATGTTCTTCGGCCGATAAGAGAACGACAACCAATTGAACTCGATCTACGGCCTGCCATATCTTTTCTTCGTCCTTACGAAAGGATCGCGCTCGCGGCTTTTAAAGCCATGCACTTGTTTTATGGCCGACGCCCACAGAACAACTGAAAGGAGTTGCAAAGCACGCGCAAACTCCACCATCGATTATAATAGCACGTGCTACTTCAGCTACTTACGAGCATTACCATCATCAACTCGACACCAACGGATGCTGCAGCACTCCCAGCCATAACTTCTCTCCCTGTACATTGTACAACACAGAATTGTTTCTTGAAATTTGAGGATTTACTTTCTATAGAAGCTCTGATTGACTTATTGCTTTCTGTCAAGATTACTTTCTATAGAAAGTACAGCCGTAAATTTCAAGAAACCCAGGTAGCACACTGACGTCTGCTGACTTTTATATGACGTTGAAATGACGAACGTCAGAAGATGTCATATAAACGTCAGCAAACGTCAGTGTGCTACCTGGGAAAGTTTCACCCGAGTATTTTTTTTCTGCAACAGAATTTTGACTTTGTTACGTATACCTTAGTTTTATAATTTGTTTTTGCTATAATAATAAACGCCCCCAAGCTATACTATAAAGTAATAAACATTTAAGTAAAACTTGGTTGCCCCCAAAAAGAATAATAAATTATTTTAATTGTTTGTAAATAGTTGTTTACTTTTTAATAAATAGTAATTTTGTTGGTAATAGACGGTATTAATAATTAAATTAAAAATTAATAATAAATATTTTTATTTATAAACATTATTAAATAAATAATTTGTTTATACTTAAATATTGATGAAGCGCATTTATTTTACAAAAACTAAATTCATAAGTTTAACAGTAAAATTTAAAGGGTTTATCCCTGATAGCACAGTTTATTCTAAGAATGTTTTTTAAACCTTCCAGTGAGAATATTCTTAGGATCATGCTATATTTCTTCTAAAGAACATGCTTAAAAGACATATAGCATGATCCTAAGAATATTCTTACTGGCCTATAGGCAGGTTCTTAGAAGGTGCAAAGTTTTAGTGGTAAAAATTAGTCTACTCTAAACATATGCTTAGAATGTAAGTAATTGCTATAGAAAGTTTATTTAGGAATATTCCTGTTAAGCATATTTAGTTCAGTTAGCTATATAATAATAAAATATACCATAAACTACGTTTATATACTTAAGTACCTAATTAGTAATTAGTATTAAATACTAAGTAAAAAACACAATCCAAAATATTTTTTATAGTTATTTGTCAAATTAAAACATTATTCGATAACAAAAATACTTTTACTATAGGTATTTTATTTTATGTTAAAAATAAATATTTATTAATTTGTATACCGATTTTTTATTTCTGAATTAACATTTTTATGTATAATAATCCTAACTATCTTCAACTTCCATCTAATCTGACTTATCCCACAAAATTTTCCAATTTTACTTTTTATGAAATAATGTCATAAAATTTATGGTTTAGAGGTCAAATTGTTTATTTAATATTTTTAAATAAATATATATTAATATGTCCTAAAATTTAAGGGGACGACAAATACATTTCACTGTCATATTATGACAGTGAGGCGTATTTGTCGTCTCCTGAAGAATTTTACGAATGTAGAATACAACATATTAGAACGTGGGTATCTGACATATTTGGAAATATTCTCAAAAGCTTTCTAGAAGCTCCATAATAAACCTTCTAAGAACATTCCAAAAACGTATTCTTAAAATGTTCTTAGGATGCTTTTTAGGAAAGTTTTAAGAAGCTTTTAAGAATCTAATTGCATCATTAAAAGGGTATCTATTGAATGTTTTAAAAGTCCCTAAGAACATTCTTAGAAATAAGGGAAGTTTCTAAGAATATTCCATTATTCCGGGTCATATCTTCTTAGAAGATTCTTAAAATCAAAATTTGCTATCAGGGATAAATTTACGTGCCTAATAAAACGTTATATTGTTATTCTGGAAGTTATAAACTACCAGTACATATTTAATAAACGACGACATTGAAAAGCCAAGTCCGTAGTGGTTCCATTTAAAAAAGGAGGGATAGTACAATCTAATATAAGTTTGACAAAGACAGTTAATATAGAAGTAAAAACAAAAAAATAAAAGTAATTATAACGCTCTAGCAACGATATTGAAACGTTCTAGTAACGTAGCAGCTACGTTCCAAATAGTAGCAGGGTTTATAGCTAGTGACATATTTGTTACCTTTTTGGAACTCAAATTGTTCCCCACTTTAGTCGTAACTTAGTAATGAAAGAGTAATATAAAGAGACCGGCGACTGTCGCAAAACACTTTAAAGTTTCTTCAATAGTCCCATATACGTAACAAATACTTAAATTGTTGCTTGGGCCATTTTAGTCACGAGTTGCATACTATACTTTTTCTCCGACAAATACTGAATATTATCTAAAAAATGATTTAAATTAAATATTTGTATAAAGCGACATCTACACGAAAATCCCAATAAACATTTTTGACGTAATTTTCACCCTTAACATAGCCCGTTATTATTTGAATTAAACTTATTGATAAAGCGCCATAAAGCCACAGCTTGTCAATGTGTATTTAAAAGGTCACTTAGTGTCATTGAAACATGTACCATAATGGGCTTTTTAAAGGTGGGAGTAAAAAAATCTTTATTGAGGGGGTTAGCAAGTTTAATGACATTGCTAACCCTAAAATTAATTGTATATTACGCAATAAAAAATACTGTTAATAAAAATTGAATAGTTTATTAACGCTGTAACGGAAGTTAAATCGTAATCGTAAATCATTTTATGATTATAATCGTAATCGTAAATCAACAAAATATGTCTGAGACTTTTAACTAACTATTAACTAGCGTAGGTACAATGCTCTACATCAAACAATTGAGGTTATGTATCTGTCAGTTTAACGCTAAATTCGTCTTATTGTCTGAAAATATTAATATATACATGTATGTATTTTTTGTGCGTAACTCTTGACCATCTAAACTAGATTCTAAAGGATGTCGCATCGTGGTATTCGAGCCTACCCCCCTACTACTAACTCTTGATCACAAGGCATAATATGTTACGCAAAACAGCGTGCGCAGAGTGCTCAGTGCGCATAGCCGACATTCATTGACGAGTGTAATCATAGATTATCGCAGTTTACTACTGATGTACTTACGTATGAGTGCCCCCCCTATCAAGTTACTCCTCCTGTATTAAGTCTTCACGACCTAATAGTTGTAAGTATATACCTATAGGTACCTATATATATATATATATGCGCAACTAAATTTCAGTATTCATAGATAAATTACAATTTTTGTTAGTAAACAGCGGGATTGTCGATAGAATGAAGGGAAAAGTCAATTTAAATTATAATTATTTTCATTTCCACATTTCCACATCTCATTTATGATTTTTCAAATTTTACAATTAATATTTTACTTTAACAGTTTCTTATTACAAATTTCAAAGAATAAATTGAATGATTTGTAATTTTTTTTTTGTGCGGTAATCAGTGGCGGACTAAGACCGTCGGGGACTCGGGGCGGCAAAATAAAATGGGGCCCCCAAGTCTGCTTAGACTCAGTTTCTCTCCAATAAGGGATTTCGACAATATTCATTTTCACTCAGCCTTCAGCTTCCAAATTAAATATTGACGACACTTTATTAAGTAGGTACCTACTTTCATTAAATTTTCATGAAAACTTTTGGAAAACTTTTCATCCAAATTAATTAATTATTATAATCCTTTCCTTTTTACCCAAAAAGTTTGATTTTGACAAACTTTGAGAATCTTTACGTAATGTTACAAAAAGTTTAACTTGATTAAAAAAACATTAAAAAATAAATTAAATATTGATAAATCAGCTCTACATTTATTTCAAATTAGGCTTTTTGTGTTTTGTGTGAAAATATACGCCTATTGGCGTAGCTACCTAAAAAATTTGTTTTCATTGATAAATCACAAAGCAGAAAAATATAAATATTTTATATTTTAATCTTTCAAAAGACTTTTTCTTATTTCATACTTAAAGTTGACAAGTTCAATAAAAATGATATAGGGTTTTTATGGCATCGTATATAAATATTAATCTAAGGGAGAAGGTTACCATAAAGTAAAACTGGCAAGCTATCTTTTTTGGATAGATAAGGTTTATAGTAGGTAACATTTTGAAGATCTGCAGACACAGGATAATGTATAATATTCTCACTATATACTTATATATATTGCTCTAAAAAATTTAAAGATGTTCCTTTTTGTTCCTTAATGGTAACTTGCTGGGGATAAAACTGTTAATAAAAATTAAATAAACCAAGTAATGGCCAGAGTACAGCATTAGTATATTGTGGGACTAGTGGGAGAAAGAAGAGATTCCTCAAGCGGTGAGTATGCCGCACGAGCGTAGCGAATGAGGTAACACCCGAGTGAAATCTCCTCTTTTGACCAATAGTCTCGCACAATATTTTATTCAAAAACCACAATAAATTTAAAGCCAGTTTTATTTGATATTTTATCTGACATCTGACAGCTGTCAATTAGTTTTAACCTCACTTTTTTCCAAATTTATCTTAAAGCCAACTTCAGCCCGTGGGCAAAATGCTATTTCGCCCACTAGTGGGAGAAGTAACATTTCGCCCATCGGTTAAAGTTAAGAAATAAAATGGGGGTTGAATAAAATATATTAATATTCTTTTAGATCGCCTTTTGACAAAAAAAAACAAAACGATAAAAAAATAGGTCAAAAAGTATTTTATCTATTTTGCGTTCGTAAAGACTTAATTAATGAGATACTTTATCCCACCCAAAATGTATAGGTTGGCTTTACTTTAAACAGCGTAATATTTTGCATATTGGTTATAATATTTTTATGATTTTTCTAGTACTTACGAGACTTTTCTGGCAATAAATTTTGTTTAACTACAAAGAAAATCCTTTTTTTCTTCTTTAACATTAACAACCGCTTATTGTAAATAAGTAAATTAAGGACGGCATGGCGAATTGATTTTAACATTAACTGTCAAACGAATGACTGTGATACCAA